CATCATCGACAGAGGTTCGGTCATTTTTAAAACGTGAATGCCACACAAAAGTTTGCGGACTCCCCAAATGCTTGCTTTAGCATTTCATAGGTTTCCGTAGCCGTTTTGGCGAGTCTTTGGCAAAATTTGATGCACACGCCATTCCGAAATCGCAGGAGGGTCGGTGTAATGCACTACCAAAACGCCCGTAACTAAGAAACAAATGTTAATTCGATGATGCCGGCTGGCACACTGATTCACTATGAATGTAGGCCGCACCCACTAGCGGCTGAAGCTCGTACTACATCCGGTTCGCCCGCTATTGACACAGTCTTGAAACTTTCCGATCGCACCTCGTACCCCACCAAAGACTGATTTCCTTTCATTCCAACCCGTATGAAGCCCGATCTAATTACAATTTGCCCTGACTAACTTATTACACGTTTTTAGTGCATAAATACTAAAAATCCTTTAATGGCTACCACTTCTGTTGGTATTCGGGAGCTCTGAACTGTTATCACCAGTACCTTGGTCTTTGCTCTAGTCCGTACTTTGTCTTCGGTTTGTGGTTCACGTCTTCATGCTTTTTTCTTCAACGTGCCAAATTATTCTTTCCATGATCCATCGTTATGGTCAGTGCACATTCGGTTTGTTTGTCCAAAATTTCCTCTGTAATTATTTCAGGCGTGTTTTACGGTCCGTCGTACATATTTTTTTACTCATTAACCGTAATTCGACTTTATTCTTTGTTCTCCGTTGAACAGAATTTATTACTTTAAAAGAGCCACGAATAGCTACCATGCTAGGGATCAGGGGTTCGTAACCTTTTCCGAACCCAGAGCTATACTTGATCGGTCTTAACAACTCGCAGGTTTGGAAGTCATAAATAAGGACAATTTATTCAACCTTTAATGGCAATTTGTTAAACGTTAATACAAACAGGTTCACATATTATTGAATTTTATTTAACAAAATCAGTCGTTAGTGCGATATATGACACTTCTTTGCCTAAGTAATCTTTCAATACCAGGTTTATTTCTGATTTTTTGAAATTCTCATAAATCCTTCTAATTGTTTAATAGTATCTTGAAGTTTTCCACCAAGCTGAAGGGTTTCTCACAGCGAAAAGTACTGCCAAATACTGAAAACATTTTAAAAAGTTTTTTATGGCGTGAAGGTAGCTTTTGTCATACCGAAAGAGGAAATTTCTTTTCGGGCTCATAAAATACATTGAAGGGTTGCTACAAATGTTTGTATGACTGATCAATTGATATTTTAAAAATATACATTTATTTTACAACAGACGTTGTGGAATCAGTTAAAAATTAAAAACGAATTAACCTAAATTTTGTGTCTCGCATTTCTTTCATATCAGATATACGTCGACTGGCTACGCCACCATGACATTGCACTGCTAATGGGTTTAAAGTGAATTCTGCTATGGCGGTTGTGCACAGCAATCATCACAAAAATTACCCGCAAAACGAATAAACTATAAGACAGGGTAGTCTCAGGGTCATTACAAGCGATGCCCCAGAAATTACTTCAGCTAGAAAATCACGTTTCTGTTCTTCCCCGGATGACGCGAAGCGTAATTTCGGACAGGTCACGTGATGACGAGTATTATTTTGCTCTTGCGTTAGAAGGCCTATTCCAGTGGATCGTTGGTTGTACAGTTGGCCTGTTCCGACGACCTGAGACGCATTCATTCTGCGATTTAGTGCCCTCGAATTCTGCAGAAGATTTTGTAGTTTCAAGGGCAATTTACCGACGTGCGTGCCTTACCTGGTGCGAAATCTAGTGTACACATGATGATCAAATCAAATCAATGTAAATATGGGATTTGAGGTTTTCACGGCGATGAGTATGAAGATTTCTGGGTTGTTGCGCTGTGTAGTCTGGTCGATGTTTACCAACGTTTCGGAGGTCATACTGCCTCCATCATCAGGGCGATGAGTATGAAGATTTCTGTCTTCTGGGTTGTTGCGCTGTGTAGTCTGGTCGATGCCAACCAACGTTTCAGAGGTCATACTGCCTCCATCATCAGGGCGATGAGTATGAAGATTTCTGTCTTCTGG